TATATAAAGGATAATAATGAATGAACATTATTAGCTCTGGTGCAATGTGTTACTACACCAGTAGCTTCTAGTTATAATCCACTTATTTTCCGTGATCTTGGTCATTCTGAAATTATTAATGTTAATGCTATTACTAAATCTATCAGTTTTTTTTCAATCGTCAAAAATAGAAATTATATAATAGATCGAGAAGATCATGTAATACATACTGATAAATAAAAGTAAAAATCCGTTTCTATTACCAGAATAAAAACGGTAAAGATCCGACATACTTCCATTTTTTTTACTGAATAAAAAATGGAACTATGTCAGATTTTCTAAAAAATGGATTTTTGCTAAAGTAAAACCAGGTTTCTTATATAGATACGTTTTTTATCCAGTAAAAAAAAACAGAAATATGTCAGATCTTTTAAAAATCGTTTTTACTTCGGCAATAAAAATGAATTTTTACTAAAGTAAAATCAGATTTTTTGTATAAATTCGTTTTTCATCCAGTAAAAAAAAACAGAAGAATGTCGGATCTTTTAAAAACCGTTTTTACTCCGGCAATAAAAATGGATTTTTGCTAAAGTAAAACTGGATTTTTTGTATTGATCCATTTTTTATCCAGAAAATATTCTGGATAAAAAACAGATCAATACAAAAAACTGAATTTTTGCCTGATATGTTTGAAAATTTTTTTTACAGGACACACTCACCACTCTCCACAAATTTTGATCACAATTCTACCCTAACGATTTGTGTCCAAGATGCCTTGGTTACGAGGAAACTACTGATCACATTTGAACATGTTCTTTTTCGAGATTAGTCATATCAACTATTTTTCAAAATACACCTTCCAAACTTTTTAGTCTGATTAATCATTATCTCACTTTCTACACAAATTTTAACTTTCACAATTTCAAAAATGCTATATCTAACTTTCATAGAATCTCACACTTTTTCAATTTTCTTTATAACTCTTTAACTGCGCCTATAATTTCAAGTTACATTGAACTTTTCAAAGACTTCGTCCCTATTGAATTAATCAAATTCATTTTGAACCATACCTCTCTAATTTAGAAAATAGCAACAATTATCACCTCTAATTTCATCTCCTGGCTTGTAGAAGAAGAACGCACACACATTTGGAACAAACGCTACCTAAAACAAATACAACTCGAAAAACTACAAGCCATCACGCTGAAACTAAAAAAATCACAATCCACGAAATGAACAGGATGATCTTGTTATGGCCCGGAATTATTCTTAATTCCTTAATTTCTTAATTCTGATCATGTGACTCAATATAGATTATAGAGATAGCAGAGATAGCAGAGTTCTTAGACATATCAACATTATCCGCTATATCATATTTATTTGACATGTATAATATATCCCACATTGTAATAACTTAGCCATAAATTATTTTATATAAATAAAGAACCTTTTGGATAAACCAAAAGACATCAATTGATCAATACAAAATCTAGCTAGTCAATAAACTGCTTCTTGTTTATTGTTTAATGAAATTGTACATTAATTGATTTTATAATTATTAATTTTGTTATAACACTTATTTTATACACTACTGGACACTCAACCAGGTTGCTATAGAATATCAGTACTATATTACTATAGAACTGTCATTACACTAAGTAAATACAAAGGAGATATTTATTAATAGTATTGTTACCTATTCTAATTTAAAAGAATAAAAGAAGCTGCACTGTGCCGCGATTCTAAAAGCAACTGGATCGAATCATTGAAATATCAAATAGACGTTGGTTGAACACCCATGTCACGAGATTATCTACCTGAGTCCAGGACTCGTAACAACCTCCAAACTCTATTTTACAACAACCCTACAACACCATCATCAAAATTTACTTTGATCCCAACCTATGTCCTTGCAGCTTCCCAACCTCAGCACATCACAATAACATCTGCTCCAAAGAGGGTCTCATCAAATTACATAGTATCTTAGCTTTATCAAATCATATGCAATTAAAAAATAATTTAGACATCCTCATTATAAAGTCCGCTGTAGTTTAGTTCTGGACCGGTCATAGTGACTAGTCACTTTGTAGTTTCTTATTTCTCGTTTTTTTTGAAGGCTTAATTATATTATAACTAGATATTAATTTATCTTGTATCTTAGATTAGTTAACAATTTAAATAGGACTATACTACAGCATTTCGAATAATAATAATAATATTAAAAAAGAAATAATTGATAACAAAATATATATTTTAGTACCAATTAGTATTTAAATTCTTAAATACATTTCAAGAAAATAAATATATATTATCTTTATCAAAATCTTTAACTAAGATATTTAAACAGATATTAATTAGTAATGAAAAAAAATAAAAAAGTGAACAAAAATTTATTAATGCAATATATTATATTGAATTATTAATTAATTCTAATAATTTTATGAAATTTATTAGTTTTAAAGATGATTTTTTTCTTATAAACTACTAATTAAACTTGTTATAATAATAATTTAATATAAATTATTTATTTTTAATAAATAATAAAACTTCTTAAAAAATTAGAATTTTTTAAAATATAAAATTTGAAATAAATTTAAATTATTTTAAAACTAAAACAATTTCAAGAAGATTATTAATTTTGAATAATTTTTTATTTTATAAATTATTAATAAAACTTATTATAATAATATTTTAGAAAGAATTAGTTATTATAATTAAGCAATTTAACTTTTTTAAAATTAGTAATTTGAAACTAATTTAAAATTAATTAATAACTCTAATAATTATTTTAATTTCATTATTTAAAAAAATAAACTTGTATATTATAATAGATAGTATTTATTTATTTTTGATATATTTTTGTAATAATATTTTAATTATATTTAATAAATAAATTATTAAATTTTGTAAATTTATTCTAAGTATAATAATAAACAAAATTATAAAATTATTATTTAATTGATTTTATTAATAAAACATAATAAAATTAAAATTTTCTCTTATATAAAAATTTTAATATATATTTTCCTGGATTTTTTAGATTTAATCTGATAAAGCTATTCTAATTGCAAAGCTATTATAAAAATTTTTTATAATTAAAATATAAAATTAATTATAAAAAATTTTTGCAATAACTTTGCAATTAGAATAACTTTGCAATTAGAATAACTTTGTCAGATTAACTCTAAAAAATTTCAAAAAAATATATGTTAAAATATAACTTATAACCTTTATTTTGACATAAAAATAAAACTATTTTTATATAATCAAAAACTTATATAGAACAAAAAATTTAATTTTTTTAAACTTATATAATGAAATATTCATGAGAGAAGGTAATGACGGTGTTAAGATATGATGAAATGGCCCATGGCTATGACAGAGCATTAGTCAAGCTGTCTTCTGGACATTGGGACATCTATGTTTCAGCCTATGAAGCGATACCGCGTTTTGGAAAGTTATTAGCCAGCCGTAGAAGTTTATAACCAGTCGATTGTGAATTCGAAGTAACGTATAACTAAAAAATTTCGAATTAATCGTGGTATGAACCACCATGTAATAACAAATGGAAAGTTCTCATTTGTGTAAATAAATCCATGCTTTTATATTTTTTACATTTTTTACATTATTAGTACATGTAGTAGCAATAACAATTTAAAATGGGAGATGATTTCTAGAAAAATTTAATTTAAAAGCTGTTGCCGCATACATTTAATAGAGGAATTGAAATTGTAGCAATTTATCAAGGTTATTTTTTTCAATTCATTTAAAGATTTGAGTGATTCTAACGGCGGACATGCCGCAAAGTCGATATTAATAAAAGTAATAAAGGACAAACAATGTGAAAGAGATGTTAACGAATTAATAACGACAATAATTAAGAGAAATGTGTCAATAGCGATAGCATTTCCAATAATGGTCAAATGTCGAAGCTCATTTTGGTATCTCAAGAGATCCTCCCAAAGACTTTTGATTTGATTCATCTCATGATTATCTTTAAAATCATTCGACGACTTTGAATCGAAAAATTCAATTTCTAAACTTATCTTTTTAATTGAATATTATTTGAATTAATTTTCTTATTTCATAAAACTAAAAAAAAAATACAAATAATCGATAATTACCAGATTTTTGCATTTTTGAGCCACAATAAAAGGAATCCAACGTTGTTCCGGATAACAAATAAGTGACATATGTCTTGGGAAAGCCAACAATCCCGGTGTATGCGATAACCATTCCAAATATTTTTCATCTTCAAATTCATCGTAAAATTCATTTTCAACAACCATATCGATTCGTAATTCGTTTAGTGCTGCTCCATTTTCTACTGCATTTCTTATCAATTCTTTTAATATGACAAGTTGGGCCTTTCGTATTTGATATGGAAAAATCAACCTTTTTTTGTTTGAAGAATTCGATAACCAGATGCCGATACAATCAACAAGCCCACGTAAATTTAAGTATTTGAGAAATTTCAGGTAGTTATGCAATAGTGAACTCGAACGAGGTTTCTCAACAACTAGGATTTGATGTTCTTTTAGAATTTTCAATGAGTAGTTGTCTAAACACTCGAGATAAATATTCATCAAATTCACTGTTAAATTGGAATTTTCGAATGATGTGTAACCTGAAGGGTTTTTTTGCGAGTGAAAAGGTGAACTCCATAAATAAGAAATTGCATTTTGGTTCCATTTCCGGTTTACCAGTGAACAAAAGTATAGTGTTTGCAAAGCATAATTTTCTCCATTGATATGTTTTCTCTCTAATAATGAGAAAATATTTTGCAAGATTGTATTGGTGAACTTGTTCATAATTACCGTTAAGAAAAAAAAATCAAACATTATCGTTATCGATATACCGATACGTAGTGATAAACCAGCCAAAACTTGTTAGCATCGAGTTTATATTGTTACATTATTACCGTTACGGTTACATTGTCATTTTGAATTACAAAGTCTATTGCTATTAAAATCTAAAAGTACAAATTAAATTATTATATTGTCATTCCACTTTCACAATGATTACATGTCTTGATGAGCGTGATTTTGATGGTAAGCTCGTTGATGACAACCTTGACACACCCACCGCCATCTCCCATCACTTAAGACCAAACGTTGCAATCCTCCCCATTGCTGTGCGGGATCATTTTTTTCGAGAAAAGCCTGAAATTCACGAAGCGCAGGACCACGAACAACATTCATTCTAGCTACAGGATCTTTCTTTGCATTTTCAATTTCGCATGCTTGTTCGGGACTTGTCGCCGCTTGATCGAGTAAATTAGTCAATTGCTGGAAATATTCGGTAGGTCTTGATGTTACTTGACCGATTAGTCCGGTGATATTATTTGGCATGTTTAGATGAAGGAAACTTGCCCCTGCACTAATTAAAGTTGCTACGATCGAAAGGTAAGGACCAGCCTTTGCTAACATAGGTTTAGGATCATGTATTGTATAGCCGTCATGTGTGGTAAAATGTGCTTCCCTATTTCTGGGATCAAGTCCTTCGCATAAAACATGTAGAATAAAAGTATTTTTTCCCCAAGATTTAGGATTGAAGATCGTGTTCGTTTCTCCGCCCGGTAATAATATATATATACGCGGAATAGCGGCATCCATAGTGTCGGTTATACTATTCATAACAGCATCTATTTGACTCAGAATCAGATTCGTGGTTTCTTGGAGTGTGGATATTATAACATTTGTGTTTTGATTTACAGCCGTGATGATTTTTTCAGTTGATTCCGAATGTAAAGTAGTCAACTAGATGTTTTTAAACGCAATACTGTTACGAATCGAAAAATGACAAATTTTACATAAATAATGAATGATAAATTACGTACTTGTTTCGTATCTAGACCAGAATTTAAGAATGCAGAACGAAGAACTTGTTCACATGAAATTCGATTTTGTGGTTTTATCGAAAGAAGTTTCTCTAACATATTCCTCGCTTGCAAATCAGCAACTTTATTCAAAGCTAAGTCTGTTACCTCGCCATTTGTATAGCTTGCCGTTAATTTCTCGATTGCTTCATCTGTTGAATAGAATAATGGTGTGTTTGTGTATAATTCATAGATGATACATCCCAAAGACCACATGTCCATTGACGTTGTTGCTATTACCGAAGACTGTGTTTGTGCCGAATGTAATACTTCGGCTATTTATAAAGTGAAAAAGATAAGATGAGATTCTAAAGGATAATGACTAACTGAAATTTATACATGTATATTAAACTCACGTGAACAGTATAAAGGTGAGCAGTCATCGACTGATTCTTCCCCGATAAATCTAGCAGCCTCAAAATCAATCAATCTCCTTTGATGATCAATGAAAAAATTAGCGTGGTTTTCAATATCTTTGGCATTATCGTTATTGTTATTTATACTTACCATGAAGTAACGTCACCAGATTCGTGCACAAAATTTCCAGGTTTAATATCCAAATGAGCAACATTATGCTTATGCAAATAATGAATTGCTTGTGCTAAAGACTTTATGATAAGTTTTATAAATAGGGTATCCATCGAAGACAATTTACTCAAAATAAAACTATCTAAACTCTGTGGATAATAATTCAATATAGAGACATAAGGCCAATCGTTTTTCGAAGGAAGCTCGTACAATGCTAAAAGTTCACCGACATGACGAGAGCGAAGATATTTGAGCATAACGACTTCTCGCTCAAAAGATTCGAAATTTTGAAAGAATTTAATCGCCACTTGATCATCAGTTTGTTCATCGACAGCCTGGCGTATCGTGTTATTTCCGCCGTTTGCAGATTTTCCTCCTAATCGATACCGATGTAAAATAACAGTGCCAGTTGGAGCTGATGGTTCTGTTTCATTTACGTCTGGTTGATCGTAAATCATGGTGGTGAGTTTATGACGACCAAAAACTTCATCTTTATATCTTGAACTGACATTTGGCTCATTACGAATACGCACCGAATGTGGCTGAGATGAAAGAGAGATGTTTGAGTTCGAATTATTAACTGGACTAGAATAGAATCCAGTGTTTGGTGATGCTGAATTGGCAATTGCATTAAATTTGGAGGGTTTGTATGCATTTCCTTGTATTTTATCGAATTTATTACCGGGTTCAAGATATACTTCTTGGTTTTGATTTTGATTATTTTTTTTTCTTCGATAATACCAAAATCCAAAGCACCCAACAGCAAAGATAACAACGGTCGCAACGCCCCCTGCGATATAAAGTCCTGTACCATTATGATTAGATGAGTTGTTGTTAGTCGAGTTTCCTCCAGGATTGTTTCCATCTGGGCTGGCTGAATTTGACTTGGAATAATACGGATCAGCTTGATTCGGTGCCAAAACACCACCAGGAAATTGATCCACTGACGCAATTGCGGGCACATTACAAACATCTACCCAAGCACGCTGCGTCATATTAAAAATTGCCAAGTCGTTTGTGTATCCGGATGCTATAATACTTGAATTTGATGCCTTAGAGCTTTTTTGACTTTCTCCACCGTATGTCTAGTGAAAAATTAAATTCTAAATTAACAATATCAAAAGATGCGAACAATAATCTTTCTCTAATACTTACGATTAATACATCACTTCCGGCAAATTGAGAAGCTGAATAATAATCATGGCTAATACCTTGTGCCATTGGACCAGTTTTAAATATCGTAATAGAATTATTCATAAGGTTCTACATACCAGAAGTAAAGTTTGAGAATATTTCTAAGAACAGAATTATGAAATTCGCGTTTTGAATGTAAAATCTCTTACCCAAGCTCCTATAATCGAATTTAAGGAACTTGAACCAGCAGAAACAAAGAAAAATGTATCATTTAGCTTTCCGGACCAAGCTCCAACAAAAACGTTTCCTGACGAAACACTTGGGTCAAACCATGTGCGCGTAGGTATATTGAAGGCCCATATTTGATCGGAATAATCCCAAGAACTAGACATACTTCCGGAACCACTTACAACAAAGATATTATCTTTGAAGGTGACTAGAGAAGAAAAAGCAAGCGCGGGGGGCGCATATTGCTATAAAAGATTCAAATTTAATCTTTTAGATAAAGGATAAGCAATCAGTATTTAATAATGAAAAATATACTAAATAATTTACCGTTCCCACTGGAACCTTCTCCCATGTCATATTTCCAACATGTAAAATATAAGAATCGTTTCTCATTTGACTACCGAATGCGCCACTAAACACAAATATTATTTCGTTTCCAGCTGTAGCTTTTACATATATTGCTCTATGACTATCTCGATGTGCTATTAGACCACGCGAATCAAGATTGTTTGTCTTAACATCAGTCCTAAATTTTAGTTTACCCAAATTGTTATTTGGAAACAGTTTTTTTTTTTTTTTTTTTTTAGAAAAATGAAGGCATCAAAATTGACTGCTATACATACCATTTGCCATTGGTTCCTTTTGTAAGATCATACATGGAAACGCCATAAAAATTTGCATCTTCGGATTGTCCACCACCAATTACAAAGAAAAGACCTTTCTCAGTCACGACACATGCGGGGCGACTGACATTATGAGCTCCATCAGTTGGCATAGCAACCCATTTTTGATTTGCTACATTGAATGGTGCTTCGATATAACTAAACCAACTATACACTTGATCATTCCCATCACCACTATAGACATAAAAACGATTTCCGTAAGCAGCCGTGCAATGATCTGCTCTCGGTCCCGGTGACGCATCTTTTGATTGAGCGTTGACAAACTTCTGCTCAATTATTAGACTGAGAAATAAAATGTAAACTAATAAATTGAAAATGAATTTTTGCGATTTAGTGAGGTTATATTTGCTTCCTAATGATAACGACGACGATGGACATGATGACCAATTTTCAAGCGAGGAGGAGGGATACATTTGTAATAATGTGTTAATAAATTATGTAAAGAGTGAAAATATGGTGCAGTTTGCACCTTGATAATGAGAATGTAAAGAGATATTGGGGTGAGTCAATAGAAACCAAGCAAATTATATATGTAATACATCTATAATTTGCTTGGTTTCTATTGACTCGCCCATATGTTGACTGTGCAAAACCCATGTACTACTTTTCATAAATTACATGCGTCGTTGTGTGGCACGTTAAGTGATAAATCTTGGTTACTCTAGCAACAACAAAACGATCTTGTTCCTTTTAGAGCGAGATTGCTTTGTTATCGTTATTAGATTAATTTAGTAATTACCGTTACTTTTAGTCGCCTTAATTGAGTCGTCAAAAAATACTGAGCTCTAGCGTTATCCAAGATTCGCAACTTTTTGTTACCAGTAAGCGGCTTTCCGAAAATTCTGTTGTCTGCCACGATTGAACATTTAATAATGACCATCGGCATATCCAGCTCTGTTCCGATTCCTTTTTGATAACAAATCCCGGCTATTGCTGGATGTTTTTTGGAACTACCGCTACGTAGTCTATTATCATTACGTACTAGTTTTCATTCATATTAAATGTATTTTACTATTGAAAAATTAGTCGGGTTCTCCGTTATCGTTACACACGGAACGATATGTATAATGTAAATCTGCGTGGAGTTAAATGTAACGGTAATGGTAGCGGTAGTTTCATTTTTGAAATTTGATACAACATGGAAATTGATACACAACATAACGAGAATATCCAAGAATTTCAAGTCGACGATTCAATAATAAATAAAGTCAACCAACTTAAGGAAATTTTTGTTGTTGGAAATGACCGACCTGAACCCGACCACAAGATTTGTAATACTATTATCAAATGGATCAAGGATAACAATCTTATCGTCACAGATGTGTTCGACATGGTCATGAATCAATGTCATAATCCAGAATACTATTCCCTTCTCGCTTTTTTATACTTGAACAGAATTGGAAATACTGGTGGTAATAAGGAAGCTTTTCATTATTATAAGCTTGCCGCAGAGAATGGCGATTTACTCTCTCAACAGGAATTGGGGACTTTTTATAGTGGTGGTAGAGGATGTAAGAAAGATCAAAAAAAGGCTTTGTATTGGTATCAAAAAGCTGCGGATGGAGGACTTGTCGTTGCCCAATATTATCTCGGTTGTCTTTATCTGAATATTTTTTTCGATACTGATAAAGGAATCGAGTATATTACAAAGTCCGCTGAAGCTGGATTTTCTGGTGCACAAGTGAAACTTGCTACGCTCTATTTCAACGGTGACAAAACTAAGATGAATCTGCGAGCAGTTTTATATTGGTATAAACGAGCGGCTAGTGACGGGTATTTGCATCTTGCAAAACTTTTCGCATATGGTACCGGCGTAAATAAAGATATGCATGAAGCTCTGCGTTACTTTTTATTGCATACAAAGAGCGATGATAGTCAACACGTATTTAGACGTCCACTACAGGGATTTTTGCTTGAGAACGTACTTGGGTAAGAATATTTCATTTTTTACGCAAATATTTTAAAAATTATTGATTTGAAAAATTTGTTTTATAAGAATTGTTCGGACTTCACGTTCTCAGTAATTTTTTACGAAATCTTCGATCAAGTGTTTCGAAAATATTAAATTCGATCTTTCAAGAATTTCAATTTATCGGATCATTTTTGTCCAACCTGTTCAGATATTAAGCAAAAATAGTCTTTTTTTAGTTTTAAAGAGTTCGTCGTGAAATTTCTTTAGAATTGCGGTTAAACCTCTATGGAAAAATATGGGAAATATAAATCTCTCTAACTCTAAAATTCTCTTACCAGTTGATGTATAAATTAAGGTTTTTGAGCATATCGCGATCCCTATACAAATAATACATTTACGTTAACTTTGATTCACAAATTTCTCAAAAATGTCATTCAAACTCTTGTAAACTAACATCTATCAACCATGATAAAATGAAAACGATGAAAAGCAATAGCTTATTTATTACATCCCCGGGGATATTTTCGATTACAAATACAAAACATAAATTTTTTTGATAAAAAAAGTGAGGCCAGACTTAAATGTTTTTGAAATGATTGGTGGAAAATAAAGGAGTATGGCGAAAAATTAAACTTAAGGCAGCTGGCATTGCCCGATAAAAATCATATGTATGAAAATGGAAGAATTGAAATACGTTTGAAGCTTAATTGTTTGTTTGTGCTATAAAAAAGGCGAGAATTTTAAATAATCGGTTAAGGTATCAATTATGATTAAAAACTTAGAATAAATTAAAAGGCGGAAGTAAAAAGATAAAAATGAAAATACAAAAATAAAAATAAAAGGATTTTTGCTATGTTTTCATAAAAACTTGATTTATACCTTCATAGCCGGCTTTATGACCGTTTTTATTCGCTAAGTAATAGTAACGTATCGACTCGTGTATATCATTCGCTATCCCACTACCGAATCTATAACAATAAGCGAGATTATGTATTGCACTTGGATTTCGACCGACAGTTGCTGATTTCCTATACCAATATACACTTTTTACTTTATCCTGTCTCACTCCTGTTCCATGTTGATAAAGATATCCGAGCCAATTTTGTCCTCGATCATCACCTTCATTTGCAGCTTTTTGAAACCAAAAAAATGCTTCTTTTAAATTTTTCTTTACGCCCAACCCCTTAAATAAACAAGTTCCGAACCAAAATTGTCCGGGTGACCAGCCATTTTCAGCTGATTTTCTATACCAATAAGCAGCTTTAGTTTCATCGATCGATGTGCCAATACCATCTTTATAACATTGTCCCAAATTGGCTTGGCCACTTGCATCCCCACCCTCTGCTGATTGTGTAAATAATTGAAAAGCTTTATCCGAGTCTACTTCACAGGGTCCGATTCCTTCTTGATAGAAACTTCCTAACCAACCGGCTGCTGTTGCACATCCTTTCGATGCAGCTTTTTCAAACCAGTAAAATGAATTTTCGGGATCTTGATTTGTTCCTAATCCAATATAATAAAATGCACCAACTTGATTTTGTGCTTGTGGATCGCCATTCTCTGCTGCAATCATATTATAATGAAATGCTTTTTTTGGATCGACGTTGCATCCAATTCCCCATTGATAAAGAAATGCTAGGAAAAAAATGTACCGTGGATCGTTTCGTTTTTCGTATACAGCATCAAAAAGTCTTTTTGGATCGATATTGTGATTCTTTAACCATTGATTAATTGTTGAAACGACCACAGTATCAATTTCATAACGATCGTTCATTTCTCTACATAAATTTAATATTGTCTGAAGAAACGACGAGGTCGATTGTGTTTCTCCATCTGGCTCTTTATTCAACTTTATCGCTCGTTCAAATCTTTGCTCATCCATAACCATTGGATTACTATTTGTGATGATGAAGTATTATACTAGTTGATCTATTGTTATTATTATTATTATTATTATTATTATTATTATTATTATTATTATTATTATTATTATTATTATTATTATTA